TATATATATATATATAAAACACGCGCATACCTTAATAGTTTGATATTCATCGAGCACTTTTACATATCTACCTAGAAAAAATATTTTTACAGGTGAGTTGATTAATTTGTATAAATGGCGAGAAAATATTTCATCGGCAATCTTAAAATCTATTGCATTGAATAATTTTTTTTTCAAGAAAAAGAAATAAACATTGTAGCCTCTAGTTTTTACCAATCAAAATAATTTTCAATCGTCGTTTAAATTTGTTTGCATATATCAGTTTAAGTACACACACACACACACACGCATACACACACACACACAGAATATCGTAGTATCGATGATTCCACGTTATTTACACGTTCTATTATTGATATTAAAAAAAAAGAATTGTTAAAATCGATAAAGCAACGTAGCGAAATTTACATTTAATAGAGCTCGATGAAGTTTAATAAGTAGTGTAAATATAAGTAGACTTATATCACTTTTAACGAAAAGAAAATTGATTACATACATGATATCTAATTCGTTTGGCGTGCATGCTGCTATTAACTTGCAATTGTCTTGTAGATACAAACTTATACTTTTGTATGACTTGGCAATAAAAATATTAAAAATGTTTCTCCTTCAACTGTTAGTCGTTAATACTATCGCTTACATAATTCGATATATAATCTCATTAATGTATAATCGTGAAATCAATATTAAACAAATTAAAAGAAAAAAAAATTAAGTTCAGTAAGAAGTAAAAAATTTAAAAAGAAGAAAATGAAAAAAGGGAATCGAGAGAGATGTTAAAAATTTAAAATATAAATAATCATCTAAAAAAAAAAGGATTGTCATATTTCCAATATAGAACTGTCGTGTCATTAATTATCTTTAACAAGATCGTTCAAATTGCATTATGTCATTATGTCATTTTTTATGCACTTTAAATTTTTTTCACGTATTTCAACTTAGTGCATCGATTATACGAATAAATTTCAAGAAAAATAACCGAAAGTATTCGTTATCGATCAAAAGGATCATTGTTTACGATAATTCTGAAAGAATTTTCATTGCTAAATGGAAAAACGTTTTTTTTTTTTTTTTTTGATATTTAAAACGAAAATTATTCCAAGTGAATAGAAGGATTTTTTCATTAATAGGTTTCACTTGAAGACAATATGCGGGCGGAATATTCAATTAGCCATGACAGTATCTTCCATTTATCGGTAATTCGCGCTGCAAAATGTAAATTTTATTGACCATAGCCTAGAAACGACGCCTTACATACGATCCTTGACGTTATATTATCTTCGCTAATTATGATAATTTCATTAACTGTAATCTTTTATTAACCTCTTTCAAATAGCTCAATAGCGCACAAATTAACATCTTATCTTCTCGAAATTGTTTGATTCTGTAAGTATGAAAAAAATAGATTGAAACTCGTCATTCGAGAGATGTCAAAGATATATCGAGTTCAATTATATATAATAATTTATAACAGGTTCCAATTAAGATATCATAATATCGTTCCATTCCAATTCATTGTTGAATTATTTAAATATCTTCGTGGTAATTTGAATTCACATGTGATTACCAATCGTTTAATTCTTCATTTAGAGACGAACTATTGTAATTACTATTCTTCTTTCAAAGAAAGAAGTACTTTCGGTTATTTTTCTTCTTCTTTTTTTGAAATTTATTCGTATAATCGATGCACTAGGTTGTCAGAAATTTTGTTAATTTTGTTAAAAAATGTTAAAAATAATTAATGACACGATAGTTCTATATTGGAAATATGACAACTCTTTTTTTTTAGATGATTATTTATATTTTAAATTTTTAACATCTCTCTCGATTCCCTTTTTTTACTTTCTTCTTTTTAAATTTGAACTTAATTTTTTTTTAATTTGTTTAATATTGATTTCACATTGATTATACATTAATGAATGTATTCAATCTTTCGATAATAATAAACGAGGTAAAAAAAATATATATATATATATACAAGTAGAATTATTAATCATTTATTTAGTCATAATTTATTCGTAGATGAGTTTCGATTACAAGTGAACGAATAAAACGTACAAAAAGAGGCGTTATCGAGATTCGAATTTTAATAAATACGTTGATTAAGCGTACATTATATAGAAACATTGTAGTCTTACGTGGTGAAAAGTATTGGTAAAAATTAAAAATGTTCGAAGCGAAGGACGATAAATCGTTATGTGCAATCGTTACTTTTGTTCGATAAATCACGACATTTATTAGGAGGAATGATAATATAAATAATATTCCACTTATCTCGAGTACGTATTTGTGACGTATAAACAAATGAGGATGATAATAAACAACGATAAATGTATATAAATTACGTATAGAGGAGTAAACTAATATTAATTAAACATACACGTTTCCACGATTCGAAAGCGCAGCGTGATTTTTTTTTTTAGCGATTTTTGCAATGTTTTCGATGTTTATTCAATCGTCATTATTAAAATTTAAAGCCATAATTACGATTAATTCGATACCTATTAAGGTGTACAAATACGTTTGAGAGTAAAACGTATGGAGAGTTAATTTTGATAAAATCAGAGATAAAATCACTCTTGAACATACTCTCAGAACGGTGTCTTGAAAAAATACTTTTCAAGGAATGATTTCGTAAGTTTTACTCTCAAATGCCTCCGCTTTCTTGCGATTCACGTATTATGCGTTCATTCTTCTTAAATTACGAATAAAGAAGAACATATACGTATACCGTTCTTTCTATTCCCTGATGAAGATTAAAGAGAAGCATGAAAGGATAAGGAGAACGAAATTGGGCAGAGAAATGGCGACACCGTTTTCGTTCCAACAAGTTTTCATATCGCACTGTTTGAGAACAGGATTGAACTTTTGCTTTATGTATTCCCAATCGCAGAGCCCCACTTTACATCCGTTGAGCATGACCGATTTCTCGGCCAGGTAAAACATTACTTTGTTTGTTGGTTGGCTGTTAATGTCGCATCTAGTGAATGAATGAAAAATAAGATAAGTAGTTTTGGGTCCAAATATAAGGATTTCGTTTAACTCCTGTTTTCTTAACTGTTTTGTTAACAAATATTTTTATTACTTCAAATAGATATATCTCCACTCTTTCTTGGACAATTTTTAACGAGAATTATGTTTTTTTTTGTTCTAATTATCTCGCTATCCTTTGTATGCAAGGATATTTTATTTTTCTTCCAATTAAATAATTTTATACGTGTATAAAGCGAGAGAAAAATGATAACAAAACATTCTTTTTATTAATTTCTTATTAAATAGAATTCTCGAAAGTTTTTATCGTTTGTGATAAAAAAAAAATTAATGTTAGAATTATAAATTCTTACTTGTAAAATACGGCGATAAGATTCGCCGCGAAAGAGGATATGAAGGACGTTCTCCACTGACGTTTCGCCATTTCCTTGTAATTAAAAGCCGTCAGTTGCATTTGATCTTTATTAATGTTCAATGTTGTCAAAAGATTCAACAGACTTATAGTATCGCTAAAATAGAATATGCCTTTGGGCTGAAAGTTCGACTCGTTCTCCTGTTCCACTTTCCTGAAACATATTCGAATTCGAAATATTTCGAAGAATAATTATTCATCCATTTAAAAATTTAATCAAAAAACTAAGGAGAGAGAAAGAGAGAGAGAGAGAAAGAGATTACCAAAAGTGATTCATCATGTCTTGCAAAAGCGTGCATCCTAGCCGAGCATTGATTTCACGTCCATATCCGGCTTTGTAATAATAGTAGAGATCCTCGCGATATTCGAGCACATGAAGTTCCTCTTTGCTGAAAACGGCACACCAAGGAGAGAGTTGCGTCACTGTCCATGCCTTTTCGTAACGGCACATATCGTACAT